AAGTATCCCTTGGACAAGGTTAGATCCATTTCCATGTGGCTCTTCGCTGTCACTTCTTTCAGTAGTCAGTTTTGTCTTGCTACATGGGCATCCCTTTTAGTGAAACACTTACTGATTTGGCTACCCCAGGAGCCAAAATCAGTGGATTGGTCCCTCGATTGGCCTGGATGTAGTTTAGGGTCATTTCATATAAGTTATTTAAGATTTATATCCTCACCATTCCCACTAGTGGACAGGGGAAGAGAGAAGAGCTTTAGCGTGTTATAAAAAAAATCCTTCACTTATATGAGTAATGATTCCTCCCTTTCCCACTGTCACCCTTTCTACACTGGTGTAGCCGTCATATTCCAGCACTCACAGGGCACTCCTTAAGCCTCTCATCTCTGGTTCAACTTGAAAAAGCTGTTCTGTAGCTGTGTAGTCACTGTCCACCTTGGGCTTCCATGTGACAGGTGTGGTCCCCCCTTCAGCTGAGCATTCTGCGGCATGGTGGGAGAGCATTGCCTCTCTAACTAGAATGTGCATCAGTGTAAGTCTGGAAGCTTATTGAAAGTCCAGATTCTGAGATCACATTAAGAGAAGAATGCTGGTCTAAGGGTCAGAATGGGGCTGGCTTCCTGGCTCTGCTACTCACCCCATGACCTTGGCCAAAGCAGGTGACCTTACCTGTTAAACGGGCACTGCAGTAACTACTCAGGGTTATATTATAATGATGACATGAGAATGCAAGTGTGTATGCAAAAGTAGCTTGTAAGCTGTAAAGAGAAACTACAAATTGTCCAGAGAGCTGGACAACAAATAATTCCTTTTTGAACCAACACAATACTGAGGCACTGCTGCAGAGGACTGGGGCTCCAGACTGTCTCTGCTTCACTACTTTACCTGAGGGCAAGGGAAATTGGTCTTTGGCCTTAGAAGTAACCAGAAGAGAGGTCACTGCTTGAGATCCATACACGCATGACCTATTTGCTAATTGAGAATGCATAAAGGAGAGAGACTCAGAAGTCTCAGTGTTGTAAGGTTCATTTTTAACCAAAGGGTTTTGGAAAATTCTCATAATAGCAATACCATTATTGGGAGGCATTATGATGAAGTGATTAAGAGCTGAGGCTCTGGGATCTACCTGCCTGGGTGTGAATGCTGGCTCCACCCCTTAGTACCTGTGTGACCTATTGATAGACTCTGCCTCTCTGTGTCTCAGTGTCCTCAACTGTAAAGTGGTGATAATAACAATAGTGCCATCTCCCGGGATTGTTGAGAGCTTTCAGTGACATAGCATATAAAAAGCACTTAGAAAAGTGCTCAGGGTACCTGGTAAGTACTCAGTAAATGCTGGTTGTATTATTATGAAGCTTTTGAGGTATGCCAGCTCTGTGGCTAGGCAGTTTATGTGAGTTAATTAATTTAATCTTTGTAAAACCTTTTATGGTAGAACTATTATCATTCCCATTTTATGGATGAGAAAACTGAGGCTTAGAGGCAATAACTAACCTGCTTGAAGTGTTACAGTTAGTGATAGAACCAGGATTTGAACTCTAGTCTTTCTGACTCCAGAATCTGTGCTCTCACATTGTACACAGTCTGTTATACCAAATGGATGTTTCCCTTCTTTCCTTTAAAAGAGTACAGTGAGAAATTGGTAAGATGGCTGAGACTTTGGTTAACCTTTCAGGAAGGCCTTATGAGCACATTGTATCCCCAAAACGGAATGTCTTTTTTTCTTTAAATCCTCACCAGAGGATATTTTTTCCATTGCTTTTCAGAGAGAATGGAAGGGAGAGAGAGAGAAACATCAATGTGAGAGAGACATCCATTGGTTGCCTCCTGCACCTGCGGGTACATGCCCTCGACCAGAATCAAACCCAGGATGCTTTAGTCCGCAGGTGGACGCTATAACCACTGAGCAAACCGGCTAGGGTACAAATGTCTTGATCAGGGATAGGGAACACTTTGAGGAAAGATCTTTTCCTTGCTGGATTGCATTAGGTCGAAGGACCCAGTGGGAGCTTGCAATGTGGCTGGCCAGTAGCTTTCAAGGCCAGGAGCATAGCTGAGCATTCTCATTTAACACTTCTTAAAATGAGTACTGCGTTTGCCACCCGCAGGCATTTGTTTCCCTTTTTTCACTCACCATTCTTTTAGTTAAAAAGGGTTAAAAGCTGTCCTTTATGATCACAGCCAGGACTTGAGTGAAAAGGCAGAATTCCACCTCCGGGGATCGCAGAGGGGCAGCAGTTGTCCAGAAGAGCTGACTTTTTGGAGCATAATATGTCTGTTTACTGTATGAATGCCCAAGCCAAAGGTCTGCCTGACTGGTGGCTGCCTGACTTCACATGCTGCCGTTCAAATGCTGCTCTGACATGCAGGAAGTCGCCACTCTTCAGCCGCCTGCAACTAACTTGATGCCCACCCGATGGAATGCTTTGTTCCTGAAGTTTGCACGGGAAATCAGGACTTTTGCTATTATTCAGACAAAGGTGGGGGTGGGGCCCTGAAAAGGAGCAGGGAGGGGGTAGTGCTGAAGGCTCCTCTTTACTTTCAGGACTCCCCTGACTTGCCTGCAGTACCAGGATACTGCTGTTCTTGCTCTTCCTGTTCTTAAAATTCAGGCCTTTTGGAAAAATTTAGCCTCTGCATGCCAACACCTGCACCCTCTCATCCAGCATTTATTGAGCATCTTTGGTGCGCCGAGGCGCAAGGTCAGCTCTCACATTTATCTTCTTGTCCAACCCTGTGGTTTTTTTTCACAAATGAGGAAACGGGCTTAGGAAGCTAAGTGATTTGGACAAGGTCGCACAGCTGGTCAGGGAACCCAAGTGTCTGCTCCAGGTCCAGTGCTTTTCCCTCTCTGCTCCCCCCAATTTCTCCTTCCTCTTCTGTTCTTATCACCCCCTTACCCTGAACTCCTTGTTGGCACAGCCCTGCCCCCTGCTGTGTGTGGCTAGCAGCGTTTCTTAACCTCTGTTGACATTTTGGGCCAGATAATTTGCTTTGTTGTGGGGCCTGTCCTGTACATCGTAGGATATTTAGCAGCGTCCCTGGCTTTTATCCACAAAATACCAGAAGTACCGCCAATCGTGACAATAAAAAATGTCACCGTGCATTGCCAGATGCCCTGGTTGAGAACCAGTGAGTTAGCCTCATCTTGCCTCTTCTCCCTTCCTCCCCCATGAAGGAGGGTCAGCATGTTGGAGAGCCCCCCACATGGAGTCCTCTGGAATCCTTACTCTTTGCTGTTTCATCCAACCAAAGTTCCCTAAAGTAGTGCCATGATGAGCTGGTTGCACTACAAAAGTTCCTCAGGCTCTGGGGCTCAGGGTCTGAGTGAAAAAAGCCCCCCCTTCTCAGTGCTCTCAGAACAGGCCCAAGAGGATGGGGTTGGGGCTGGGCAACTGGGTCTTCAGCTTCCCTGGGGAAGAGTCCTCTGTGGTGCACTTGCAGAGAGACCTGGGGAGACACGGGCGCTGGGCTTGGGGTAAGGCCTTCCTGTGAGGTGTGGAGATGCTGCACCTCTCAAATGGATTCCTTTGGTTTCCTCAGGAAATCCTGCATCTTTTCCAGGGCAGCTGATTCTCAGCATGTGGGGGGGACAGCAAGGTCTCAGTTGCGGATCTGATGAGAGCTGTGGTCCTTTACTCCAGAAATGTACATTTTGCCTGCAGTTTCAGGGGTTCACCTATGCCCATGCCGTCCGTCCATCCATCCATCCATCCATCCATCCATCCATCCATCCATCCATCCATCCATCCATCCATCCATTCGTCTAGGTTAGGAACCCTGCCTTACGCTCATGCTCACCCTTGGGGTTGACTTGGAGAGGGAGGCACCTAGGGCTCTCTCATTGCTTTTGGAGGACCTAGCAGTACACTCTTTTATCCTAGTTCCTAAGCCCTCATGCCAGGCTGAGTAATTGTAATGTGCAGTGAGGGTGTACATCAAGGAGATGAACCAAGAAAGAGGGGCTGGGCCTGGTAAATAGGAAAGGAAGAGGGGTGGCAATTTAGGAGCTGACTCCTTTACTGCTCCAGCCCAGCCTGAGCGTACGGCCTAGTGAGGGGAGGAAGGGGAGAAGAAAGCAAGGGGGGGAGATGAGCCCCGAGCAGTGGCCCCCTTCTTTCCCAGCTGCAGCAGCCCAGCGGGTTAGATGAATGCTGGGAGGGGGAGAGTGACCCTGGCAGAACCCTTTGTTCCAGCTGAGGCTGGAGCAGGGGGCACGGAGCCATTCACACGCCATCCGAGGGCATCCTGCTGGGCACTCTGGGGAGGGGGCACAGCAGCCGGTCATGGGACTTGGCCAGGCAGATAGCTCCAGGCTCAATAGGGAAGCCCAGCTGTGGGCTGCTGAGGCTGGGGGAGGGGCTGCTCTGTCATCCTTCCTCCAGGCTGTGGCCTGTCCCACAGACAGGAAAGCCCTGACTGGTCCCACTCACTGTGTCCTGAGCCAGCCCAGTCCCTTTCTCCTTGGGCCCCACTCCTTTTCAAAAGTGGTTTCCCGTCGCAAAAGTGAGCTCTGACTGGAGGACACAGCAGCTCCCGTGTGTACAGTCCTTAGTCCTAAAAGGAGTCCAGCATTTTAATTCCACTCTTATTTCTTGCCCTCCATGGCCTACACCAAGGGCCTGGTCCTGCTCAGAGGCAAAAGCATCTTTATCTCAACGTAGTCTGGAAGGAAAGGACATGGAGGTCTCACCTGCATCACCCCTTCTGTCCCCTGCTCCCCTTCCCCAAGAGCACCAACCCTCCAGGTGGCATCATTTGTCTCCGGGCTTTTGTGGGTGCTATGTAAGAAAGCCTGTCATGCAAGGGGGTACCTGGACTATTTGTGAGCCCAGAGTCAGAGGGTATCTTCTTGACCATCTGTGCCTTGGAGAAAGGGAAGTCACGATTCCATGGTCTGCATCTCCCTTCAGTGTCACCATTGTCACCTGGGTGACAGTGGTCCTAGACTCAGCTCCTCTACGTTCTTCCTTGAAATGGACTTTGGTTGGATGAGAGCTGAGCCCTCACTGGTTCTTTTTCCCTCTGCCCAGGCCAAGCAAGCAGCCCCGAGTGTGCTTGTGGTCGGAGCCACTTCACCTGTGCAGTGAGCGCCCTCGGCGAGTGTACCTGCATCCCGGCCCAGTGGCAGTGTGATGGAGACAACGACTGCGGGGACCACAGTGATGAAGACGGATGCAGTAAGAACCTACCCACTGGGCAGTGGGAAGTGGTAGAAGAGGGACCTGGGGGGGTGGAGCTGGGACAAGTCTGATGGGGTTTTCTGTGCACCAGCTGTGTCAGGCTCAGAGCCTTGGACTCTTTTGAGGGTGACAGATATTATAGATGGGTGGTTTCCTCACAATATATATGGCTCCAACCCTGTTTTCCCAAATTTCCATGGCTATATATCCAATAAAACAAACTTTGAAACAAGCATAGAGGAAAACACCCTCAAAACAACAGGTAGTCTCTTTAAATAGATCTCTCTGTATTTATGTGAGTATGTATTTGTGTGTTTGTACTGCATGTTTCTGCATTTTTTAACGCGCATCCTATATACTAATACAGATGTATAATCACATCTTTTTAATAGCATAAACTTTTTAAGAAATATTATATTCTCTTTAAGCCTCTCTTTTCCTCTAGTGTAATAACATAAGCACAACAGGCTCGAGGGCCCTGTCTTGGATGCACAGAAATAGCACTGCTGAGTCAGTTGTCTGGGGTCAGGGGTGCAACCTGCGGCACCTACGTCTGAAGCTGGCTAATTAGTCTAATAAGAATGAAGCTACAACCTGGACCTTATTAACCCTAACCATTCCAGCTAATTATGATGACGGTAAATGGCTCACTTTCATGTAGCACTTTTACGTGCGTCGTCTCAGAAGACCTCTGTGAGCGGAGCATAATTACCTCCATTGTGCAGTTGAAGAACCTACAACTCACTTGCTCGGTGTGATAAGTCATGAGTTCTAGAACTGGAAATTGAGCCCAGATGTGTCAATCATCATTTAACACGAGGAAAAGAAAAGAGTATACTTCTTTCTCTCACGTTCTCTTACTGCTTCTTAGCGGTTTTGAGTTCCTTGGGCTGTCCTGCCTCGTGAACTCCTCACGGCCATGCCCTGCTAAGACTCTCACTCCTTCGCCACAGTTTCTGCCTAGCTGCTCCATCAGCTGGGGGCAGGCGCAGGAATCCGAAGGACTGTGGTTCAGACAGCCCGGCTGAGCCTGCCCGAGTAGGTACACCACACTGATTCCCTTCTCCCTTCTTTTTCCCTGGGACTCAGTGCTGCCCACCTGCTCCCCTCTTGACTTTCACTGTGACAATGGCAAGTGCATCCGCCGCTCCTGGGTGTGCGATGGGGACAACGACTGCGAGGACGACTCGGACGAGCAGGACTGTCGTGAGTGCTGGCCAGGCGGGCTCCGTTAGGCCCTGTTGGAAAGGGATTTTCAATCAGAAAGTGATGTCCCCAGGCCTTCAGCTCTTGGTCCTGTCCTTTCACCTCCTCTAGTGGTCAGATAAGGGCCTCCCCCCACCCCCTACCAGACAGCAAGACAGCAACCTGCTTCTGATCCCTCAGGGCAGCCTTGTAGCTGCCTGGCTGCTCTGCTTCACAAGGCTTTCTGCTGAGCTCCCAGGCACTGCCCCCCACTACCTGCAGCAGCCTGACTGCTCTGTGTCCACAGCCCCCCGGGAGTGTGAGGAGGACGAGTTCCCCTGCCAGAATGGCTACTGCATCCGGAGCCTGTGGCACTGTGATGGTGACAATGACTGCGGTGACAACAGCGATGAGCAGTGTGGTGAGTGGTGCTCTGGTGAGGCAGACAGGTGGCTGGTGGATGGCCTGGCCATGGGAGAAGAGTGTAGCAATGACTCTAGCACTACCCCAACCTTGAACTGTCCAGGTATCTATGTGTCTGGAGCAGCTGGAGGAAGGCAGGAGGGGGCAAAGCAGTCCAGACCCCCCAGCAATCACTGGCAGGAGCCTGAGGCCCAGTCCCTTTAGGGCCTTGGCTTTCCCAGGAAAGCGGACACCGAATCTGTAGTGTCTTGCCCGCTGGGTCAGACCTCCCCAGGGGCAGTGCAGATGAGAGTCAGGGAGGATGTTAACAGGGTTGCTTGTAGGGCTCCCTCAGGACTGCTGTCTCGTTGCATCCCCCAGACATGCGCAAATGCTCTGACAAGGAATTCCGCTGCAGCGACGGAAGCTGTATTGCTGAGCACTGGTACTGTGATGGTGACACCGACTGCAAAGATGGCTCTGACGAGGAGAGCTGTCGTGAGTGGCCAAGACCGTAGGCTGTTGGGCTAGAGTGGGGCAAAGGGCTCCATGGCATGGGCTGAGGGCCAGGCTGAGGAGGGCATAGAGTGGGCAATGAGGGTGGGTTCTTAAGAAGCAGCTCCTCCTAGGCTGAGCGTGGGTGGAAGCAGGTTCCCCAGATGGGAAGGGAGGTCTCCCTTTGGTCCACCTGAATATGAGAGTCTACAAGGCCATCTTCAATGAAGCCTGGTTACATCTCACTTGAGGAAGGCACCCTGCCTGAGAATCCTGCCCCTCAGAAGAGTCAGGGCCCCCATCCTCTGCCCAGGCCTGAGTGTATGCTCCTCCCCACCCCTGCCTCCTTTCCAGCCTCAGCAGTGCCAGCACCCCCCTGCAACCTGGAAGAATTCCAGTGTGCCTACGGCCGCTGCATCCTCGACATTTACCACTGCGATGGCGATGATGACTGCGGAGACTGGTCGGACGAGTCTGACTGCTGTGAGTACTCTAGCCAGCTGGGTGGAGGAGGGGAGGAGGCCAGGTTGGGTTGGCAAGGCACAGGTGCCAGCTGGGGCAGGAGCATGGGGTGGGGGGAGCTTTCTGGATTCCCTGGTCCCTCTTGGGCAGAGGAGGAGCCAGAGTGCCAGGGCTGTGGCTTTCTGGTCTGCATGGGACACTGCACAGACTGGCTAGAGACAGAAACTTGATGTGTTTCCCCAGCCTCCCACCAGCCCTGCCGTTCTGGGGAGTTCATGTGTGACAGTGGCCTGTGCATCAACGCAGGCTGGCGCTGTGATGGCGACGCAGACTGTGATGATCAATCTGATGAGCGCAACTGCAGTGAGTGGGGGACAGCGCTGCAGGTTGGAGCTGGAAGTAGGGAGAGGGGTTGTGGAGCCAAAGAGGCCACAACCAACAAAGCATGAAGACAGATTGGACATGTCCACCAAGTATAGTTGTGTAGGTTGTGCACTGCACAGAACCACTGTGCCCAAATGGATGCCAGTCACATAATAGACATATATTCTATAATTATAAAGATTTATATATTCATCATGGCAGTTTTCCAGCAGATAGCAGTTAAGTATCTTGAGAAAAGGGCACCTTTTTCTAATTTACACCAAGATGGCCCACAGACCAACTAGGACACTCATGTCAAGAAGAGTGGCATGGGTGCTGGCATGAAGTATAGTTTTGGGTGGCAGGGTGGTGTGTTGGGTTGAAATGGGGCCAGGCATTCATTAGGCCTTTGCTTTGCCAGCCACCTCAATGTGTACAGCCGAACAGTTCCGCTGTCGGTCAGGCCGCTGCGTTCGCCTGTCCTGGCGCTGTGATGGGGAGGATGACTGTGCAGACAACAGCGATGAAGAGAACTGTGAGAACACAGGTGGAGTCACCCAGGGGTCCCCCAGACCCCCTAGTCTATAGTTGGGGTGAAGGACAGGCAGAAAGAGGGTGTTACAGTTGCCGTCGCAGTTGGGCCAAGGTGATGCTTTAGTCAATCTTGCACATGGCCTAGATTTTTCCTGCCTTTCTCAGTTACCAGTGTCAAATCCAGGTGCATTTGCTGACCTGCAGCCTTATGGCCTGTAACACAATATCAGGGCTATGAGTTCCAATTGCCTCTCAGCCAGTGCCTGATGCTGTGGCTTAGTGAACAAGGACTGCTCTCTGTGGCTGGCAGTCCTCACACCCACTCCCCTAGCCACACCAGGTGCCAGGCACATGGGTGCACTCTCTCATTCTGTCCCACATCTCTCACCATCCACTGTGGTGTCCTGGGGAAAAAACGAATGCAGACATTCAGCCAGCCCTGTCTGAGCTGTTTCCTGCCTTGGACCCCAACCCTCCCACCTTGAGTCTCATCTGTCTCCAGCTCGCCTTAGAAAATGACAGGCTCCCATCCTTTTGTTGACCCAAGCCCTGCCCTGCTGTGACCTGACTCTCCCCCGCTCCTGTCTTCCCTCCCTCCTTCTCTAGGAAGCCCCCAGTGTGCCTCGGACCAGTTCCTGTGTTGGAACGGGCGCTGCATTGGCCAGAGGAAGCTGTGCAATGGGGTCAATGACTGTGGTGACAACAGCGACGAAAGCCCACAGCAGAACTGCCGTGAGTGCCCCTAGTGGGCGGGCCTGGCCCATGGTTTGTGGCTGAACCCCACCCAAACAGTTCAAAGAGAATCCTCCCTAGGGACTCTAGCAGCCTTGGGAGCTATTCTTCGTGGTCCAGGTGGAATGCCAAGTTGGCCGTCTGGGGGAGGATTCTGGGCTCAACTCCCATCTCTGGCTTGGCTGGCACAGGGCCCCGGACGGGTGAGGAGAACTGCAATATGAACAATGGTGGCTGCTCCCAGAAGTGCCAGATGGTGCGGGGGGCAGTGCAGTGTACCTGCCACACAGGCTACCGGCTCACGGAGGACGGGCGCACGTGCCAGGGTGAGTTGGACTGGTTTGGAGCAGGGCCAGGATCCTGGGCGGGGTAGCAGGCAGGCAACTATGTTTCCTATGGGTCAGGCATTTGACGGACATGACCTCATTTTATCATCACACTAAGCGTAGGAGGTAGAGATTGTCCCTTCCATTTCACACATGGGGAAACTGAAGCTCAGAGAGGTTAAGTAACTTATTGAAGGCCACAGAGCTGGTGAGTAGCAAAGTTGGGATTCCAGCCCAGGTCTGCATGACTTCAAAGCCCTTAACCACTGGTTATCTAGCCTTCCCACTAGGCCTGGAAAATAGATGGGCATGTGGTCAGGAAAGCAACTAAGCAGCCAAGGAGTGGGGGTATGAGGGTGGAAGAGCAAAGAGCTCCTGACCTGCCTGGTCCCCACAGATGTGAATGAATGTGCTGAGGAAGGGTATTGCAGCCAGGGCTGCACCAACAGCGAAGGAGCTTTCCAGTGCTGGTGCGAGGCAGGCTACGAACTCCGGCCCGACCGGCGCAGCTGCAAGGCTCTGGGTAAGGGGTGTTGGCGTTTGGCTGGGTGAGCAGGGGTCTGAGCGTGGAAACAGCCAGGTGCTCCACTGCCCAGCGATTTGCTGAGAGCTAGAAAGATTTTTGGCTTAGGAAAATGGAGCTGCAAGGTTTATTCTGGGCCCCCCAAAAAATCCCTGCTGGGGTGAGGTGTGGTGGGCTGGGCCGGGGGAGTATACTTTAGAAGTTCCCACATTTTTAGTACTGATGCCGGCAGCTCAGGACATGCCCTAATGGGCCAGGGGCCCCATCTGTCGGCCCAGAAGCTGGGGTGCATGCTGAGGGTGCAGCTCTGGAGCCCAGTGGGGGCCCCATTTCTATGCCATGTCCCAGGGCCGGAGCCTGTACTACTGTTCGCCAATCGCATCGACATCCGGCAGGTGCTGCCGCACCGCTCCGAGTACACGCTGCTGCTCAACAACCTGGAGAATGCCATCGCCCTTGATTTCCACCACCGGCGCGAGCTTGTCTTCTGGTCAGATGTCACCCTGGACCGGATCCTGCGGGCCAACCTCAATGGCAGCAACGTGGAGGAGGTTGTGTCCACGGGGCTCGAGAGCCCAGGTAGGGAACCAGGCTCCGTGGGGTGGGGCAGGGCCACGCCCTGCGCGAAGCAGCCATGGAGGGGTCAGGCTAGAGGTTTGCAAACCTTGGGCAGCAGAACATCATTTTCCTCAGGTGAAATCTTGGCTGTAACTACTATTGATAACATTTGTTAGCGTACATTAATTCTGTAAGTTCAGGTGTTTGTCACTTGCTCATTGAGCTCAATCAGTTAGAATAATGAGACCATTGTGATGGATGCCATCATTTGAAACCAGAGCTTTATGGATGACAGTTGCATTTGTCTATCAGCTTTTGCATCCAGCTTAATTCTGAATTTTGTTTTGATTGCTTAATATTAAGGGTATCCTGATAGACCCAGATAAATATATCCAAAGTTTACAGATGAAAAAAAATCACAGCTCACTTTGCGGCCTTGGGCCATTCTACAAGCAGGTAAAGTGGGTTGGGATTCAATATCGAGCACAGTTGACTCAAATAATGGAACTTCTAAAGTACCTCCATGAAACCCTAAGCTACAATTTGCAAACCCCTGAGCAAGTGCAGTGGAGGACCCTCAGTGTGGGTCAGGGAGCCAGAATTCAGGAAGTGGAATAGGGTTGGCTGAGAGGAGCAAATACATGACCTGGGACAGTTACTTGACTTTTCTGTGCCCCAGTTTCTCCATCTTCATGGGGTTATAGGACCTAGCTCACAGAGTTGCTGTGCTAATTAAATGAGTTAGTGTATATAAAACGGTTAGAATACCGCCTGGCCCAAGAAACTGCTTTGTGCCAGAGTTTGCTTTTGTTACTATGGCACAGAAGAACCCAGGCTGGATCCCTGACAATTTCCCACTGACTCTTTCCACCAGGAGGCCTGGCTGTGGATTGGGTCCATGACAAACTCTACTGGACTGACTCAGGGACATCAAGGATTGAGGTGGCCAACCTAGATGGGGCCCACCGGAAGGTGCTGCTTTGGCAGGACCTTGAGAAGCCTCGGGCCATTGCCTTGCACCCCATGGAGGGGTGAGTTGTGTCTCAAGTTCCAAATCCCTCTTGCAACCTCTAGGGACAGTTCCCAGGCCACTTGGGCTAGACTTTGTTGGGTATTAACAGCGTGTACTCTGCACCCAGGCACACCTGGGTTTGAGTCCTGGCTCTGCAGTAACTGGCTGTGTGGCCTTAGGCCAGTTAGCTTATCTCTCTCTGCCTCCATTTACTCATGTGTACATTGGTGATGAAAAGCGTACCTACATCATAGCTGTGTGAAGATTAAACGAGATGATGAATTTTAAATGGCATAATACACATTAGATAAGTTGTAGGTGTTTAGTATTTTTTTTTATTAGCTCATAAGGTTGAGCTAATTAATAATAATTTTGTTATTAGAAGGAAAGTCTCCTGAAATGGAAGTTATTAGCCTCCGACTTTTAAAAATTCAATGCAGCCTGGCCAGGCATGGCTCAGCAGTTGAGCATCGACCTAGGATCCAGGAGATCGTGGTTCGATTCCCGTTCAGGGCACATGCCCGTGTTGTGGGCTCCATCCCCAGTTGGGGGCGTGCAGGGGCATGCAGGAGGCAGCTGATCAATGACGACTCTCTCACCATTGATGTTTCAGCTCTCTCTCTTCCTCTCCCTTCCTCTCTCTGAAGTCAATAAAGATATATATTTTTTTAAAAAGACATTTATCTTTAAAAATAATAATAAAAATAAAAATTCAATGCAGTCAATTGAGGGGAGTGTCCTCTAAGATCCTGCAGTTGTAGGTTAGCTATTTTAGAAAGTGTGTGTGTGTGTGTGTAAAATACAAAAAGCAGCATGGAGAGTGTGACAGAGAGGAAAGTGCGTGCCTAGTATTATATTAGGTTGTCAGTTGCACAAGGGTTGGCATTTTTGTCCTTTGTTCACTGCTACACTCCCAGTGCCTAAGATGGTGCCCTATCCATAGCAGATATTGAAAAAAAATTTTTTTTTGTTAAATAAATAAATGCCCTGTCTAGAGACATTTAAATTAAAACAATTAAAAAACACTCTCTAGTCTAGACCAAAGAAAATGTATCTCCTACTAGCTGGAGTCCGCTGGGTTAAGTGGATTAAAGCACCTTACCGGATTGCTCTTCCAGTTGCCTACCTGCCCTCTACTGCCTGTCTCTCAGTGTCCTTTTCTGTCTTCCTAGTACCATTTACTGGACAGATTGGGGTAACACCCCCCGCATTGAAGCCTCTAGCATGGATGGCTCTGGACGCCGCATCATCGCCGATACCCATCTCTTCTGGCCCAATGGCCTCACCATTGACTATGCAGGGCATCGTATGTACTGGGTGGATGCTAAGCACCACGTCATCGAGAGGGCCAATCTGGACGGGAGTCACCGCAAGGCTGTCATTAGCCAGGGTGAGGCCCTTCCTCCACTCTCCTTCATCTCTCATCCTCCTTTTCCCATCCTGGCCACCCGGAGCCTTGGCAGAGGGGGAGATTTGTGCAGGGGCCAAGCAGGCCATGTCTGGACTGAGGTTCTCTTGGACTTTCCCCAGGCCTCCCGCACCCCTTTGCCATCACGGTGTTTGAAGACAGCCTGTACTGGACAGACTGGCACACCAAGAGCATCAACAGTGCTAACAAATTTACTGGCAAGAACCAGGAGATCATTCGCAACAAACTCCACTTCCCCATGGACATCCACACCTTGCATCCCCAGCGCCAGCCTGCAGGTAAAAAATTGCCTACCTGGTGAGCCTCTGAGAACCTTCCCTGCACCTGTCACAGTTGCCGCTGTTTCTGGCCCAGAAATCTGAGGTTCGCCCTAATGTGGGCTAATTCCTCCCTCTGCTGGACCTGTAGGGTGCTACAACACCGAACTCATGAAAGACTTGCTCAGTTTCCCGGCCTCCGTCCAATTCATGCAAACATGTATACAGCATCTCTTATGCGTCCCAAGTGTTCACTGCTCACAGCTGGGGCCGAATTAAAAAAATAATGAAACATAGTTCCTCCCTCCAGGAAGCTCACACCATAGCTAAACCCTAGTCTTGGGCCTACCTTTAGTCCTACCTGACCCCCTTGCTCTGGGCTCTTTGAGCAGGGAAAAACCGCTGTGGGGACAACAACGGAGGCTGCACCCACCTGTGTCTGCCCAGTGGCCAGAACTACACCTGTGCCTGCCCCACTGGCTTCCGCAAGATCAGCAGCCACGCCTGTGCCCAGAGTAAGTGGGTCTGGGGCACCTACCTCAATGGATGTGCCTGCGAGGGGGTGGAAGGAACAGGGATACGAGTTTGAGGGATTGCCTATCATGGGAAGAGCCAGGCTCCTCAAATAGCCGCTGGAGAGGAAGAACATAAGAGGCCGAGGGCTCCCGGGTCAAAGCTGAGGGCTGAGGGCCCAGGACTAGTTGCTAAAGTTTCAGTGACACCACTCGGTCAAATACCAACACCTGCAACCAGGCTTCTGTATCATTTTACCAGGTAGGATGCTTTCTCTGTAGGCAGCAAGAGGGCTCCAGGCCCTTCTAGAAAGCAGGGGGATGGTTTCCTACCTCTTTAGCTTTAGCCTTCCCCTATTAAAGACTCTTCAGCCCCTGAACCAGAGAGCCAAGATTAGGACTTCTGACAATGCCCAGTATACATAGGCCCTGGGTAAATATGTGCCTGATGGTGAAAGACAGCGGGGTCCTCTGGTCTCTCCCTGAACTGCTATTTTGTCTTCCTTCAAGCTCTTGCAGGGGCATTTCCTTGAAAGGGTGGCCCTGTCTAGCTCAGAGCTACAGGTGGCTTTTCCTAAGAGTAGTCCAGAGAGGAGTGATGGTGCCATACGGCATCGCCAGCAAGGGGCCTGGGGTAATTCCTTACACATCAGCAGCTTCTCTTACTTACGCCATGTACCCACTGAACCTCTTATCTCTGGCTAAAATCAAATTTCTCTTGGAATCTGGGTCTTTTCCAGGGATTAGGAAAACTATTCAGAGGAGCAGGGGAGATATTTATTCAACACACTGATTGAGAACCTAGTTTCCCTGCAATCTTTTGTGCCCAGCTTCTCCCATATTATCTTAGTGAGGTGCAAGAGTTTTCCCCAGGAGCTTCCCTTAAGGGTTTGCCAGATCTTAAAAGAAGACAATAAATTTAGGCAGGAAATTATACTGGGGAAAACATTCAGACAGGCCAGAGTACGGACAGGGGATGGAGAAGAGCGAGCTGGGACGAAGCTGTGTAAGGGAGTGGCCAGAGCTCCTTCTCTGGAGTCAGACGTGAGTTCAAGTCCCAGCTCTGGTGCTTTGTAGCCCAGGGATCCCGTGCAGGTTACTTGACCTCCGCTAGCCTCACGGTTGCTCATCTAGAAAATGAGAATAAAAATAACATGGACCATAAAGCGTTGCTATGAGGGTAGCGGAGACAAGGCAAGAAAAGCACCAAGCTTAGTGCCTGGCATGGAGTAAGTGCCCAGTGAATAGTGACAAGAGCAAGAGGAAGGGACCTAGATGACGGAGCACAGCAACCAGAGTCCTGAGCAGGCACGGAGTCAACGGAGCAGGGGTGGGGGTCAGCGGTGATCTAGCCAGTGCACTGGAAGAGGTGAAGCAATGAGGTGAGAAGAGCAGAGATGAAGCTGGCAGACACTTAAACAGGATGCACTTCTGTGCCCTGCAGAGAGTCTCTTTCCATTTGATTCTAAAGTCTGATTCTGCCGGCACGGGCTACCCAGTGCTCAAAGGGGGCCTGAGGTGTGAAGAGTAGGGGACAAAGGGCACCAGGTCCCAGGAGGTGTGATTGAACCAGATGTCACACAGGTGAGCGTCTGTGTCTGTCACTGTTACTGGATTTAGAGCATTAAAAGAAGACCCCTTTCGGCCTTTGATCAGGTCTTGACAAGTTCCTGCTTTTTGCCCGAAGGATGGACATCCGTCGGATCAGCTTCGACACAGAGGACCTGTCCGACGATGTCATCCCACTGGCTGACGTGCGCAGTGCTGTGGCCCTTGACTGGGACTCCCGGGATGACCACGTGTACTGGACAGATGTCAGCACTGACACCATCAGCAGGGCCAAGTGGGATGGAACAGGACAGGAGGTAGGGCCCAGTGTGGGCCCAGGCACTCGGGCAGGGCAGAGATTAAGGGGTAGAATCCTCCCTCTCCTGGGTAAAAGCTCCCCATACTTTTTCCAGCCTGAGAATTGGCGAAGTTTAGGCCCTAGAGCCGGGGTGCAAGTCCAGGTGATGATATAGCTTTGTTTCCTGCCCAGGTGGTAGTGGATACCAGTTTGGAGAGTCCAGCAGGCCTGGCCATTGATTGGGTTACCAACAAGCTGTACTGGACAGATGCAGGTATGTATAAGGCAGCCATGGCCTGGGTCTCTGGGGCCACTTCTGTCTTGACCTGAAGTCCTTGGTAGGTCAGGAGTGTTGTGGCAGCCGCAGAGCTGAAGCTAGAAGCTCACATCTGCTGGTTTGGCGTTTGCCAATCAATGGCATCTACTTCTGCTATGTAGCGGATGCTTAAGGATGTTTTGAGGCATTTCAGAGAAGGCAACTGTGCCCTTTGATTTTTCTTCCATCACTGTCTTTGTAAAACAGGCATTTTCTATTAGCCAGGTGAGTGTGGGAGGCAAGGGGAACGCCTTAAACCAGAGCCATTCGGCATGTGGACCCTGGACCAGCAGCATCCGCATCACCTGGGAACTTGTTAGAAATGCAAGTTCTTGGGCCCTACCCCAGACCTGCTGAATCAGAATCTTTGGGAGTTAGTTTCAGGGCTCTGTATTTTAACAAGCTCTCCTGATCCTTATGCCCACTAGAGTTTGAGCAACATTGCCTTAAATTATAGCACAGAGGTGGTTGCTTGGGTTGAGGAAGCCTTGCTCTTCAAAGAAATGGCAACGATCACTTCCTTGAACTTCTTGAAATTCAATTCGCTAACTATCCGTCCGTCGTACATCTACCACAAAGTATTTCTTGAGCGCCTACCGCATGCCAGGCTAAGGCGCTGGGCACGGAAGGTAAGAGGGTGAATGACCCAGGCTGGCGTTAATATCTTCACCCCTGCTCCTTGGTAGGGACAGACCGGATTGAAGTGGCCAACACCGACGGCAGCATGAGGACGGTGCTCATCTGGGAGAACCTTGACCGTCCCCGAGACATTGTGGTGGAACCCACGGGCGGGTGAGCACCTGCTCCTTCGCAGTGACCCCCCCGCCCTGAGTGCCAGAGGGGAGTCTGGGGGTTAGCAAGGCTGGCCAGTTCTTACGGGTGCCCCAGGCAGCAAGGACGGCTGTGGGAACCGCAGAGCAGCGTGACAGCCGTCTCCTCGGTGGACAAGGGGACCTTTAAGATTTTTCATCTTTTTTTTTTTTTTTTTTTTTTTTTTTTTAAAAAAAAATTTTTTTTTAAAAAAAAAAAAAAAAAAAAAAAAAAAAAAAAAAA